CCCCCCCCCCCCCCCCCCCTCCCTGCTTGGCTCCGAGCGTGTTCCACGCTTGTCGCCGCACTTCTTCTTGAGGTTGGCCGTTTTCAAACAGACACCATCCTTGCCTTTGCACCCTTGAAGTGCCTTCAACATCTCCATTCACCCCCCGTGTTATACCACTTCCTTTGAGCAGCTTTGATTCATTAAACTTGCAAGGAGTTGAGATGTATAGTGGGTTCGCATCTGGTGCTGGTCGTGAACGCGCCGTTTATGCTGTCGGCCGCCGGGTGCGTAAGTAGGTAGGCGATTTTTTGCCCAGGGCGCGATGGGTACCCGGCGCCCTGTCCTCTCTGCATCTCGCATGCTGAGCTTCCCCCCAAGAGAGGTGGACGTGTTCTGCGGACGGACATGCCGTTTTGGGTTTCGGGACAGAGAGCGCACCGCAACGAGGTCACTTATAGCAAGCGCTATGCGATGCATCAGCAAAAACAGTGGGTTAAGAATTTACGGGGTTTAGCTTGGAGCAACTTCCACACGAGGCACATCGAGGCGGGGGAAGTGTTGCTGGGAAAACTCTGCAACCATGTCGTTGGTATGATGCGGTACAGTGGCGAACTTCGAGCTGTACACGTTTGTCTTGTACTCAATATTGCTCTGCCGCTCCGGCTGCTACCGTACGTTGCTGTCTTTACACACATCGAATCCATCAAACCACGTTCTGTGTGGTACGCTGCACGAAGTAATAAAAACGAATGTTTGTTGCGGGTGAACGAACCGGCAGGTTGCATCCCACCCCTGGATCCGAAGGCACTGCGGCGACAGGACTTCTTCCGTCGGCGGGAGCGCGGCTGGGAGTTTCAAACGAAAGGCGGTGCCTGTTTAGCACTCTCCCGGTGCGACCCATCTACATGGCTGCTTCCACCCCCCCTGTACATGTAGTTGTGTTTCCACACTCACCTCCGAAAAATTGTTGCCAACAGCCGGGTGTAGAGGCGGGGCCGCCGCCGAAATTGTTTTGATTCGTCGGGACGTGCACGAGGTGGGTGTGCTTTGCTGCGTTAGTATTTCCTGCGTGAGTACCTACCCCCAACGCTTGTTTTAGCGAACAGAGCGCACTCGCCGGGGGATGGTTTTGTTTTCGAACTCGTAGTTGTGGCCCGAACTCTTCTACACGAGTAGTACGAACCCTTGGTGAAGTTGTTGGAGTGTTCCCGGCGTGCTCGACGTTTTTGCAAAGCGACGCTCGGTGTTCAGGCAGGCCTCACCAAGCCGAGGAATCAATGCACGAAAGAGAGAGTTCGCTCTGAGGCCTTAAGGAGCTTAGGAAACCGTTTCGTGAACGCGAGTGTGGTTGTAGCCGCCATGAGATGTTGGCTGTTAACGTCTGTAGACAAAGATTGCAGAATAGCGATGGTGCTGCGCCGTTGCTGAATATCCGTCTGAGAGCGCAGAAGCGCAGAAAACGAGTGGATATTGTTGTACCGCAAGCAGGCAAACGCAATGTCTTGTGGCCGCAGCCGCCGCTGAAAGTGCGTACGATCTGTCTCCGGCTCGATTGGCTCATCCCCCCACCCACACACCCCGCGGTATCCCTACGTGTTTGGGTTCTGGATGGATTGAGAGCGTCAGCCTGACGGAAGAGTTACCACATTCGTGAATATATACTGGCGGCGTGCATGTTATACGGCGTCAGGGTTTGTTTGGTGCTTGGTTTGTTGCTCGCGATCTGGTTAGACCCACACCGTTGTGGTCAGAGATGGTTGAATCGCCTGTTGTATATGTACTGCTGTCGGCGTGCTCTGTCGAACACGAAGAAGCGAACCGGGAGTCTGGACTTTGGTCTGACGGGCGTGCCGGACGCACGCACAAGAAGAAGTTGTTGATGTTGATTCTTTTAGCGGGCGCCGAAGTTAGAGCCACAACAGCGATCAAGGACAATATCAGAGGAGCCACGGCAGGTAGGGGGTTGGTTGCCTGCCTGGTGTGCTGGCGGCACGGTAGTTCGTGTGGTTTGGTGGGTGACAAGCGCTCCGCTCCCACTTTGCACCATACCGCAGCATGCTCCTTACGGATGCAGATGATAGAGGACAGACAGACCCAAACGGCGGTGGTGGTACCGGTACTTCTGCAGAAAAGAAAGGAACGAAGAATAAAAGGCGTGAAATGGAGAAGGGGGCGCGAGTGCTTGTCGTTAGGGTGCACGACGATCTTGATCGGGTGCTGGTGCTGGTGCTGGAGCTGGTTTTCGTGGAGCGTTTTCGCGAGCTAGCCCATACTAACAACGCCAACAAAGAGAAACGTGTGAGCTACAATCAATCATGATTTTTGAATGAATGCACACGAACGCCCGTGGTGCGTTTGTGCAGAAAAACTAAGCCCACGACAATATTCATATGCACACCAAGCAAGCAGGTTTTCCCCCCCACTCGCTGCAAAGACTTTCAACGCATCCCCTTCGACTGTGGTACAAACTATCTCGGATGGGTATGTAGTCTCTCAGTGTATCAGCAGTAGTCTTACTTCAAGTAAGGTTGGTTGTGGCCGTGCCAAAATTACTGCGTCTACTATTACTACCGTACAGCAGTAGTTCACGCCGTGTTCATATTTTTTTTCGTGTCCTCCATCTAATTTGTGATGGAGGCCTACTGTCCAAAATTATGACTGTAATAATCAATCGTATACATGACAAAAACAATTAAGCTCAATTGTTGTTGATATAGAGTAAACCGGCCAATTTACGAACGCTTAAGCCACCCCTCGCGCCAACAGCTCGTTCTCGGGCATGAAGAGGAGTATGATGTATTTGTGGGTACCGGACGAGAGCTTGTATTATAGGCTACCTCCCTAAAAAAAAAAAAAAAATCGTTCGTGTCAACGAGATAGAGCTGATGCAGTGCATTCCATTGTTTAGCTGAAAATGCAGGAAAACACCCCCCCCCCAATTAACGAACACTTTAGCTTTGTAGCTGCTTTCGTGCGTTCTGAAGCGTTTCATGATCTGATTTTTTGTGGAGATACGTCTGTCGCAACATATATCCGTTTAGGAAAAAAAAAATGGAATCGATCCACGCCCGGGGACAAAATCCTCACATCCCCGGGTTTTCCGCCTGAAATCGGGGACGGATTTTACCCCATTTTTGACCGTACGGCGGTGCTGCACACATGAAAAGAGCCAAAACTAAGAGATTATTGCACAGTGGGTCTAATCTGATCATATACAGACTCAAGAAAAAAAAATTAGGACGAAAAACTTCGCGCATGTGATGTAATGCCCGTTCAAACAGGCACCCCTTGACCCGGCCGCTACCGCTATAATTCTCCGCAAGAACCCCAAGGCCATTTCCCTTTTTTCACAGTCATCTTACATTCCCACAAGACGCCCTTTGGTGTGTAGGTTTGTTTTATCACAAGAAACGCTGTTGCAAAAAAAAAA